TACTTTTATATATTTAAATATTCCATACTCCACGTATCATAATCAGTATCAAACAGTAAATTATAATTTTTTAATATATATTTATTAGTGAAATTTTAAGCTTGAATTTATTTGTCAGTTTTTATGCATATTTCAGCATATTCTTATATTTGTATTCCTTAACTTTCAGCTTGCTTAAGGATATTGCTTATGATCACTATGCTCCGCTCTTTACAATTCAACTTTACGCCGACCTGACTGATGATCTGATCGGCCTGCTTAAGGTCAGTTACACACACGGCTCTAACATTGAGTTTTCTCTTTTCACTCAATTCCTGTAATTCAATTTCAGCTGGGCTTAAGTCTACCCGCCATTGGTCAATTTATAGGTCTGGCTCTGCTGCTCATTGCCATCGTCTTGCTAATCGTAGGCTTTATTGTGAGTAAGCAGCATAAATGGCACAGAGAGTGCGAAATTGAAGCCAATGAACCAGTGCCAGCACTTGAGAGCGACGAAGTCGTTGACAGCTGATTTTGATAAGATGTTGAAACTCATATTTTGGTTTTCTATGTGATAAAGACTGCTCTTGTTATTATTATTGGGTGCAGAAATGATTATATTAGGCTATTATTAATTTTAAAAAATGTGCGCCATTAAAATGAGTTTCTGCTGAACACAAATTGGCGTGCTGCTGTTTGTTTTTGGGCAATTGGGCCTTGAGGTGTTGCCCAGCTGCGCTCGTCTAGAATTACACGAAATTATGGCCTCTCAGATATGCTAAAATTTATTAATATGTTAATAATTGTATTTTATTTGTGAGTGTGTGAGTGTGGATGTGTGTGTGGTGCCTGGTGGTAAAGAGGCAAAAGCCTTGAGCACGTAAGCTGTATGCTTTACGGCGTACGAACTCTTTCACCTAGCCATACTCACACACACACACACAGCCAACCAAATTGCTAACTGGAAATTTGAAAAATGCCAACAGAATATTATAAGCGGCTAATTTATATGCGCCTGGCACGCAAACTTACGTTTTGCACACACATTGTTGTCGAAGAACTCACACACACACAGAAAGAGAGAGAGAGAGAGGGAGACAGAGGCTTAGAAAGCGCAGGAAGTGGGTGGCGTAGCAGCTTAAACAATGTATGAAAATATGAAAATTATATGGCAGCAAATATGTGTTGGCCATACTTTAATAAATACACACAAGTTATGATTAAGCGCCGCACAGGAATATAACGAAAAATTTTATGAGAAAAGTTGCTGCTGAAAAGGATTTAAAAATATAATACATTTTGGTTTTTAAGACGTTTATATTCAAATTCAGTTATAGATTCTAAGCTTCTATAATAAAACGCTAGACTAAACGAAAATGTTTAGATTTTGTTATAGCTTGTTATAGATTTTCATGCTTCATATTCATTATTATGAAATTAAGTATAAAATTATTTAGTTTATCAATTCAAGCAAATAATATAATCAAAAATGCTATTGGAATTTTTTGTGGCGATGCAATTTATTTCACTTGAGAGCAGCAAACATACTGTGCCAAATGCCTGCACAAATATGATATACATTTATTTATTCAGACACATGTGCTGGCATTTAAGGCCGAAAATTATTTATCAACATCGGATTGGTTTGACTTGCATTTGCATTTTCATTTGCTTAGAATATTTATATCATTTTGATGAACAATTTGGGACAGCTAACTGATTTACACATAATTTTCTATGTCTTTGAATATGGCTCAGCTGATTTGTGTGTTTAGATTAATAAAGGATTGGTAAAATTTGCATATTCTCAAAAATAAAAAAGTAGGTTTCAAAAGATGAATTAAACAAAATTAATATTAAATTGGTTTAAATTTTGGTGCTTGTATATAAATATAAAAATTAATAATTAAACATTTTCTACAAATTATGAATTTAGTAAA